TTTTTTGCACTCTCCTCTTTCACCCTCATTAAGAGGTTCTTTAAGTCCTCCTCACTTTCTACCATCAGAGTGGTGTGATCTGCATATCTGAGGTTGTTGATATTTCTTCCAGCAATCTTAATTCCAGTTTGGGATTCATCCAGTCCAGCCTTTAGCATGATGTATTCTGCATATAACTTAAATAAGCTGGGGGGCAATATACAGCCTTGTCATACTCCTTTCCCAATTTTGAACCCATCAGTTGTTCCATATCCAGTTCTAACTGTAGTATTACATAATACTAGTCCATGTTTTTATAATTTTGACCGTACCTTGAATAGTGGTAGTAGTAGTAGCAGCAGCAGCAGCAGTAGTTATTCACACAGTACTATAAGCATTTGCAGATCTCAGAAATAACACCATCAGAGCTACAAAAAAACAGGCAATATTAGGAACAGCATGCATACTGCGCTGATATTTAGCAGATTCTTAGGTTTTTGGTTAAAACTTTTAATCATTATCATCACAGTAAAACTGGAAAAATAAACCATTGCATAACAATATCTAAAACATGATAATAATTTAACCTGGGCATGGCTAAAATTGGGCACTATCAAGAAAGAAACTTAAGGCTTGGTTTTTTTTTCTGTATAAGAACAAGCACTCTAAGCTAACACCATGAAAGCTTAAATAAGGGAATGTAGTGTAAACAGCAAATGTTGACTCTGCCAAGAAAAAGATGAAACTGTGTCACACCTCATCTGTGAATACTCAAAGACTGTGCATACAGACTACAAACCTAGACACGAAAGAGCTGAAAAAATTATATACTGGTTATTATGTAAAAAAATATAACCTTCCAATATCCAAGAATCCATGGGACCAACAGTTAGAGAAGGCATTAGAAAATGGCCCAGATCTTGTGGGACTTTTGGATTCAAATGAACACCCTGAATATAAGACACCAAACATAACAGTAACAGAACAAATAAATATCTGGATAATTGACACTGCAATTCCAGGTGGTGCTAGAGTTGAAGATAAAGACCTGGAATAATCAACAAAATACAGAGACCTGGCAATAGAAATAACTTTATTGTAGATGAAGCACATTTCAGTGTTCCTACAGGAATTGGGCCATTGGGAACAATGCTGTGAAATGTTATAAAGTATTATCAGCTGCAGATCTCTGAAATACAGTAACACCATCAGAGTGGGGGAGGGGTGCAATATTAGGAACAGAATGGATATCAAACCAATATTCAGCCGATACTTAGAGTTTCGGTTACAACACTAGTCATAGATTGTCTTGTATTTTCAAATAATAATATCTCAAAATCAGTCATTTTGCAAACACATCATTTCACCTGCAAATTCTAAGATTTGATTTTTAGGCTTCACCATTTGGTACACCCCCACGTACCAGCCTATCACCTCCTCTGTTTTCCAGTGTGTTTTTCTGGCCTTTCACTGATCCACAAGCCTGCCATTAATGAACTATTTGTTGTTGTTGCTGCTGCTGCTGTTTTGAAGTCCTTTGGTGGTATGCCTTCCTGCTGAGATATTTTCATAACAGAGCAGTAATATTTTGAACATCAGGAACTAAGTGTGCAGTTCCATATACATTTATCTAACAGTGAGACCCACTGAAGATGATGGTCAGCAGCATTACATTCCCTGAGATTTCTGGGCTCAGACCTGAGACCAGAGGACAGGTTCTCATGGTGTTTCATATGATGATATCATAGAAGGCAATAATTTGGAGGAGATGAAACTGTTTCTGTGCCATCTGCTAATGGAAATGGACCTGAGAAGAATCCAGTTAAATGATCCCAGATTCTGGGTAAAACACAACTTAGAACTTTTCACGTTTATTACCTCCACTGCTATGTTATCTGTAAGCCAGGTAATACCGCAATCCCAGCGATGAAAAAAATAGCATTTTTTCCTAACATTATTTGGCAACCAAAAAACAAAACACTCCTCCCCACCAGCAAACAGCATTCTGCTTAACATTACTTGTTCTTGTACAAGGTATTGTACATGGTCCTCTTTCTCCCCAAATTATCCTCATAACAAGCCTAGGAAGTAGGTCAGACTGAGAGAATGTGACTTGTCCAAAGTTGTGCAGCAAGCATCATAGCCTACTGAGGCTACAGACCCAGTCCAACATTCTAACCATAACACCACACTAGCTATCATAAAATATACTCAAATGGTGCGAAGGAAGTATAATGTATAATAAAACACACATACTGATACCACAAAGAATATTTAATTGGTTGGCTGATTGACTGAAAACTTTCTGACCTGCTTTTTATTAATAGACCTCAGGACAAGATATCATCAATAAAATAACCTTAAAACAAACAAAATACTTTGAAACAATTTTGAATGCTTTGAGAACAATTTAAAACAATTTAACAAGTCAAATAAAACAGATACAACAAAATGAAAGATTAGAGATCAGGTCATGATGCTACCATGTTGACTGATAGCCAGGTTTTAATGATGCTGAAACACCATTCTATCTTTTGTCTTTTGTTTTTCTTTCCTTAGTTAGTTCAATTTAATTTTTCATGTGAAATCTGCAAAAAAAAAAAAAAAAGTGGAGGAGGGGAGTAGCCTTGCACAGAACACATTGCATTTAAACAAGAAGTTACCAATGCACAAGGGGCAAGGAAATAAAAATGGAATGTTAGTTGTTCTGTTTAGATCATATGAAAACTTGGGTTCCTGTTCTAGTGGGGAGCCTCTCTTCTGTAGAGATTTTCTTTCTATGGAAAAAGCAATAACAGAGAGGGGAAGAGGCTAGGTGCTCAAAGCACGTTGTAAAGAACTGGTTGAGTAACAAATATGACTTTGGACTCTGCTCCCTACTGTCTGCATGCCGAAATTACATATCTGCCACCTCAATCAATGCATAAAAATGTACTTCATACTATGCATAGGTACAAGACATGCATTCCAGTGCATAGAGCTGGAGGCCCAATTCTGCTGCCACCTATCTCATGCACATTCTTTATGAAGTGGAGTCCTAAAATGAAAACTGAAAACCCTCTGTTTGTCTCCACGTGAAGGATGGTTATGGGCCACAGAAGTTCTAATTTAATTATAACTAGGAAACAAGCATAATGTAATATTGTAATAAACTATCATTGTACATAATATTGTAATAAACTAACATTGTACAAAAAAAGCCAAAAGGTGCAAAAAAACAAAAACAAAACAAAACAGTATTATACTGTTTGCAAATACCACATATAAGCATTTACAATGTATGCAGAATGCTTCAGAAATAGAGAATGTAATAATTTAAAGTGCTGGCTATGACCTATAAATTTCCATGTAACTTGGGTCCAGGCCATCTAAAAGATGCTCTCCTACACACTCTTGCTAAGGCTTTGAAATATGTAGGAGAGACCTTGGTCTCACCAAGCTCACTTGTAAGGACGAAATGTGATGGTCACTCTCGTACTATGGAACTCCCAATGGAAGCTAGATTGGACACCTTCCTGATAGCCTTCTGCCAGCATACAAAGACCTTCTGATTTATGCTGGCATTTGACAACTGACTGCTAAGGACAGAGCTTTCAAAGGATTGCTAGATTTAGGTAAAATTAGTAAAAATTACAATTAGAAAAAAGAAACAACAATAATAATAACTATTATTAACTAAGATGTTTTAAAATAATTTTAAATGGCATACTGTTTTACTACTATAATTGATTTAACTATGTCCTAATGGCCAGAATTCAACTGAACAATTACACTAGGGTAAGTGTTATGGCATAAGTTTCAGCAGCACATTTCTTGTTACAGGCCAAGGTACATGACTGCTAAGCAACAGGAAATACAACCCTCAACTTCTCAATCAGCAATAACCCACCTCCTGGGTTTACAACAATGGATTTGTACCAGGGATATAAATGATAGGATTCTCACCATTATTCATAATTTGTCTTAAAGTTTCAAATATTGCTATCCCAGCTCCTCCAATTACTGTATCCCGTCTCCCTTCTGTCCATTCCAGACACTTCAGACAATAAGGGTCAATAATGGTACAAAGTAGGCCAAAAACTTGGCAACCAGTGCTCCAAGATGGAGGCTCTTCCTTTAACTTGTGGTAACAGACCATGCCAAAATTTGTTCTACATGTGTAGGGTTGTAAACATCCAGGCTTCATTCAGAGAGGGAATCCCCACATGAATAAGAGAAGAGAGATGACACCAGCCCATGCACTTAATCTCATCAGCCACTGAAGTTGACCCAGTCTGTCACCTTGCTTTGTTACTTGTTGCAATACGGGCAGGTATGTGTGAACCACTACTCTAGGCTATGAGTGGAGGAACACAAGATAGCATACATAAATATAGGACAGACAGACATGATGCTGAGCTACATTGCATGTTCTCTGTGTAGGCTGAAAGGAAGGAGTAGCCTGAGGCTGCTGTCTCCTGTAGTACACTAACATAGTTATAAATTTTTCTTAAACTTTTTATCCTTTATGTTGTAAGCCGCCTAGAGTGGTCGAAATGACTAGATAGGCAGGGTATAAATACAATAAATAAATAAATATAAATAAATAAACATTGTGGTATGCAAAGGAATGCCTGTGAGCTTCCTGATGTTGTCAGCCGATAATCTGATATTATACTTCAGCAATATCTGGAGGGATCCATCTTAGATCCCCCCCCCGCATCACTTCTGAAACCCAGTCTGAACCTCAAGAAATACGCATGAGGTGGGACTGCTTGCCTAATTTCCATGCCCTGAGCAGCCAGAGGGTGTGTGAATTTGTGCTTAGCAACATGTGGAAATTTGCCTCCTGAACAGTCGTATTAGAGACAAGAGGAAATGCAAAAGAATGGCAATAAATAATAACAACCGACCGAGTCGGCTGTATGTCGACGCGCGTGGCTGTCTCTGCGTGAGGGAGTCATAAGCAGGGTGACTGAGGGGGGCGGGAGATCGCGCGCCTACAAAACCAAACGACAGCTCCACGTCCACCCGCCGCCCACAGGATCCTTTCGCAGCGGGAGAAGAGGGACCGGGAGGCGCGGGAGGCTGGTCCGAGGCCCCTGACTGACGCACCGCGCCGGGCTGAAGAGGCTTCATGTGGAAGCCGAGCCAGAAAGGAAAGGGGGGAGGGGGGAAAGGCGGGCCAGAGAAGGAACTACTGTAAGAGTTAAGAAAGTCCTGCCCAGCTGTTTGCGAACTTTTAAGATTTCCTGTTTCCCCTGCAGGCAGGGCTGAAGCGGAGGAAAGTGAGTCACATACACACAGGCACGCACGCACACCCGAGAGCAGCCGAGCCGCAGCTGCCCAGGCTGCCTCTGGCCGGGCCTCTCACTTTCACCGCCGCTGGTCCCCACCTTCGCTTCGGAGCTCCCCCAACCCCGAACGCCGGCCGCCCGCCTGCCTCAGAAAAGGGACTCCCTCGTTTTCTCCCCCCCCCCTCAGCGCCCTGCCGCCGCTTTCGCCGCCGCCTCAGAGCCCTCCAAAAGGATATATACACATACATATACAACACACATAGGCACACACAAACATGAGCGGGCTTCCCAAGCACGTTTTGATGTGGATCCTCCTGCACAGCACGGCTCCCCCGCTGGCTGGGGTCACAGGTAAATCTCCCCCTTGATTTCCGACGTGAGGAGGGGTGTGGTGTTTCTTGAGGGGCTCTTGCCCACGGTTGCCGTTGTCCCCCGCTCTCTGCATAACTCCCTGCCCTGGAAACGGCAATTACGGAATCGTAGCAAAAACGTCGGAGAGGTTTCCTTTTCTTTGCTCCCAACTTCTGCTCCAGAAACTCTTTTTCCTTAAAATTACCCTAACTCTTTTTTTCTCTCTCTCTCCTCCCCACTTGTTTTGAATGCTGGAGACCAGTCTGATTGCTACCTAGAATTTCTGCTGGCTGACAGAGCTTGGAGATCTAAAACCTAAAAAGGCGAATTATAAGAAGCTCCCTAAATCAGACCATTGGCCCCCTCGAGTCCAGTACGGGCTGATCAACACTGACTGGTCCCCTGGCTGGTTGGGGTTTTAGAAAGAAGCCTTTTCTAGTCCTACCTGGAATCGAACCTGCAACCTTCTGTTCTACCAGTGAGATAGAGGCCCTCTCCCAAAAGGTGTAGCTGTGGAATTTTAATCCGAACCTCAGGTTTTCTGTCTGGAAACAAGATGTCTGTGTTGCAGCTGCAGCAGCTGCCCCACCTGGCCTAGGATGTCTTGCTCTTCGGAACTGTGTTACTCTGGGCAGGATTGGAGTTTGGCAAGCAGATAACAATTGGGGGTACAGGCCCTTAGAATAGGAGAACTGAATCATGTGTTGATGCGTTCTGAGTCATAATTCCCAAGAGAGAAAGGGATCCCGATTTTAGAGTATCAGTTCTCTTAATTCCCTTCTGTCTCTCTGGGTTTTTTTGTTTTTGTGCAAATGTTGCTCACCATCCAGAACATAACTGCTGTTATAAAATGTGACTAAAGAGGCATGACTCTATCATTGGCTTGTACTTTGTTCTTTTTTACTAAATGGGAAAACAACTGACAGTCCAAGGGTGTTGAACAGGGTTCGTGGGAACATAAAGGTGGTAAATTCATTTTTAAAATCTGTTCTGCTAAGCATACAGATCATCACATCTGTACTTATTCTTGGAGTTGTGCAACACCAACTCAATTTACTGAAGTAAAAATGTGCTATTCGTGGGTACCAGTGATATGTACTAGTGATACCGTTATGGTGTAGATGCCTTTTAGTGATAAGGTGTAGCGTAAATGTTTACATTAGAAATGTGCAGATGTTTGTTTTTGGACAACTCGCCCCAAGATTCTCCAGGTGACAGAGCTGGAAGTTGTCTAAAAACACAGTCTGCACCATGTCTGATTTTCATCATCATATTGATCGGGGGGGGGGGGGATAGTTTCGGGTTGTTATGTATCCATGTATCAATTTGTTGTAAACCTGCAATCTGTTTAATAAACAGAACCAATATTGTTTTAAGGGCCTTATGCACACTTTTTTGGGAAAAGCCCCAAAGCAGTGAGGAGGAGGTTGTGGCTCATATTGTTGAACTGCACCTCCCCATAGCCTGCATTGCCTGTGAGGTTCAAAGTTGATGGGGGTTGCAGTCAAATGTCTAGCAGGCTATATAATCACTATTTTTGTTCTTGGGGTTAAGCTGAAATTGCAGCAGCTTCCTGGAAGCCTCTTTATGATTTTTTTTCCTTTTTCCTTTATTTTTATAACTCTTCACTTCTCACAACATGATGAAAATTTATATTGTAAACTATTTGGGGTGTAATCTTTGCTTATGTTGTTTCTGCAAAATAACTCTATATCAAAATTATGTATCTTAACATTCAAATATACTCATATACTGTATACTCATATTGAGCAACCTATAGGGTTTCTGTACAGTGGTTGATTTTTAGTTGTTAAGTGTTTTGCTTGCTCTGTAGCAGAAAGTACATTTGGCATAGATCATATTTGTATGGTATTTGTGTAATCGAAGTCTTGATCCTGCAATTATTAATGTCGTTGAGTACATGCAAAATATTAAGGAAGGCAGTGGAGCTATGAAGAAAGTAACTTACAGGCTGTGGATGAAATACAGTAGTCACACGTTAACGCACTGTTCTGTAAACTTGTACTAAAGAAAGAAATGTGCACACGTTTCTTTGTAGAAGTTCTCAGAGCTAAGTTGCTCACATTGTCAAGTAAACTGCTGTCTGAGTCTTAGAATTTAGTATTTAAAAAGCAATAGAAGGCCAGGCCCAAAGAGTAATGCACAGTTTTTTCAATGGGCCCTGGAAAGTTGTCCATGAAGATGAGCAGATGTCTCTAAAATAGGATTAAATCCAATATTACGATGTTGTGCACACCCACAAGGTTGTTCAAGTCCTGACTGGTATATATAAGAGCTAGCATGACTGAAAAATGTGTTGATTTGATAATGTTCACTTGGCTTTCTCTCTGAGTTTTATTTATAGTGCAGTCTCTTAGCCCAAATAGATAACATCTAATAGGTTTCAGTATGATTTGAACAAGTGAAAAGGAAAGTTAACATGCCCTTTCTTCTCCCCTCAGTTGTCACATTCTGTCATGTTGCTTCAGACTTGTGGCAGCCCCATGAAGTAGTCACTTCCAAAATGTTCTCTCAATAACAGCCCTTCTCAAGGCTGTGGTTTCCTTTATAAAGTCATTCCATCTCATATTTGGTACGCCTATTTTTCTGCTGATTGTTCTAGCACAGTTGCATTTTCTAGTGGGTAGTCCTATCTTTTGATGTGTCTGAGGCCTTCTCTCCTCTGCTTCCATTTCACTGCAGTACATTTTAAGCTTGAAGTACATTGAGTTTACACAAAATAAAACTATTTAAGCAGTAGTATTGGGAGAAAGTTCAAAATAAATCTTTTTAAAGCTGTTTTAAGAAGTGATGAGGGTTGCAGTCATATAGCAAAATGTTTGCAAAGCGTTTTATTATAACTGTTAGTACTTAATTGTTTTTGTAAGGTGCACACTTAACTATAGATACCTAGCTTATGGACTGGCATAACAAAATTAACTCTGGAAAAGATAATTAACTGTGAAGTATGTCATTGGAGAGACGTCTTTTACTTGGAATACTGAAAGGACTAAATACAAAGGAAGTACATTAAATTAAATGACTAGCACCCTAATGCCTTCTAGATAGGATAGCCTGAATGATGTAGATTTAATCATAAGGATTGCTTTCAAATTCTTTGAGAGCTTCGTGAATGTTCCCTAGAATACAGCAAAAATATGGATCAGTCCTTGATTTGTAGAAGTTCTGTGGTGTGATCCATCAAGGAAGACAAAGGAAGTATTTTTACGACAGAGTAAACACATGTTGGTGGAAATCCAGTAGTAAGTCAAGCTCCAAATTGGTATACATGAGGTCCAGCCTAGTAACATGAGCTCTGCATGGACCAGCAAATGCTTTTTCTGTGGCCTTATAAAATATTTCATTGTCATATTTACCATCTGTATTGGTCTTCAAACTGTATGTGTCCTTGCTGTCTGCCACCCTTAATGTCATTGTTTTTACCTTTGTGGTTTTCCACATTATAGTCTGAAATAAACCAGCAACAAATGAGCAGGAATGAAATTTACTTACATGAAAAATTGGGAAAAGTTTCGATATGTCTTCTGTGAATGTTGGTTTTCAATGTTGTCTGCATTGGCAAACTGGTTAATTTTAATTATGGTTATTTTAAAACAAGAAGGCATCATTTAATTATTGTAATTATTGTAAGCCGCCCAGAGACCTCTGGGTAGAGTGGGCGGCAGCATCTGGTATATTTTACCATAGTTGTAAGGTTCCTTGACATTCAGTCCAGTCATGTCCAACTCGAGGGGGCGATGGCCATACCCGTCTCCAAGCCGTAGAGCCAGCATTTGTCCATAGACAGTTTCCATGGTCATGTGGCCAGCGCGACTAGACACGGAACACCGTTACCTTCCCACCGTGGTGGTACCTATTTATCTACTTGCATTTTACATGTTTTCAAACTGCTAGGTTGGCAGGAGCTGGAACAAGCGACAGGAACTCACTCCGTCACGTGGATTCAATCTTACAACTGCTGGTCTTCTGACCCTGCAGCACAGAGGCTTCTGCGGTTTAACCTGCAGTGCCACCACGTCCCACTGGCATAGTTGTAGGACTGTGATAAAGAGGGAAAAAACTTTTTATATATTCCATTTTTTGTTTTTGTTTTACTTGAATTTACTATAAACTAACCATAATTAATGCTAACTATATTTCAAGCTTTGGGCAGACAAGGAAGGATGCAAAAAATGGAAACAAATGCAAAGTTGTCTTAAATCAGATTATTTTTTGAGTGTAATCACTTTTTCATAGGACTGCACCATATAAGGTCATTATAACACGTGTCCCCAAGCCCCGGGCCGTGTACTGGTTCCGGTCCATAGCCTTGGAAGGACTGGGCCACCGGGACAGATGAGCAGCGAGCAGGAGGTGAGTGGTGAGCCCAGCTCCACCTCCTGTCAGCATGCTCCTATTAGGTTCTAATGCCACTGCTGATCTGACAGGAGGCGAAGCTTCTTGCTGCTGCTAGATCATCTGTGACTGTGGCATTAGAATCTAATAGGAGCCTGTGCTCCTATTAGGTTCTAAGCCGCTGCTGATCTAACAGGAAGCAGAGCTTCAGTTGCAGCTCACCTCCTGCTCCTGCTTGCCATTTCCTTTATGACCTCATTTCAAAGCTATCCTCCAACAACCTACTGTATAACAAGTACACACACACACCCGGCCCGGTCCTTGAGATAATGGTCTTCAACTAAACCGGTCCTTGCTGTAAAAAGGTTGGGGGCCACTGCATTATAACATACTTTCTCTATACTGTAGCTCCAATCTGAACCCTGCTGCCTAGGGAAACACCCTACTGAGCATGCTCAGAAAACCTAGATCTGAGTAGTCATATCCTGGAACTGTAGTTCGCTTTGAGTGGTTCAGGACAGTGAGCGAAATAGAATTGTTTCCTATGCAAGACAATTGGCAGCATCACCTTTTTCTATCAGTCTGTCTCTCTGGATAGCCATAGTCTGAATAGGTAAAGACAGAACACAATTTTCGTATTGTTA